TAAATGTAGTAACGCCAGGAAATTTCAAGTGATAGTAAATGTAGTAACGCCAGGAAATTTCAGGTGATAGTAGGTATCTTAGTAAATGTAGTAACGCCAGGAAATTTCAAGTGATAGTAAATGTAGTAACGCCAGGAAATTTCAGGTGATAGTAGGTATCTTAGTAAATGTAGTAACGCCAGGAAATTTCAAGTGATAGTAAATGTAGTAACGCCAGGAAATTTCAGGTGATAGTAGGTATCTTAGTAAATGTAGTAACGCAAGCAAATTATCATAAACCCTTAGTGATAAGTACACGATTATTTGTTATGTATTTTATTTTATCGAAACAGATTAATATTTTATAAAATAATCTATAGCCGTGTAGAAACACATCTTGTTTTCTTTTTTACAAAATAATTAAGAAATAATGTATTTGGTATCGTTTTTGGATCTTTTCTGCTTCACGCACCGCGTTCAAATAGAAAAGAATATATATTTTTTGAATGTAGTTTTTAATTTTGATTTCAGAAATATAGATTAACATTTGGAGAAATGAAAAGAAGTTTTTTTTATTATTATTTTACTTTTACTTATTACATATATACCTATGTATTTAAAAGAATTGTAAAACATCAAGACAATACAAAGTATCTTGTGACTATGTAACAAATTCAGTGTGAAAATAATTTCATAAATATTCTTCGCTTTTTATTTCCACAGGGTGATGGAGGTGGTCCTCTGTCGTGTTTGAGGAGGGATGGTACATACGGATTGGCAGGCATTGTGTCCTGGGGTATTGACTGTGGTGACCCTGACGTGCCTGGTGTTTACATAAGAATCCAGAAATACATTGATTGGATCACCGATATCACCAATCGTCCAATCACCGACTTCTGGCCAAACTAACAGCTTCATCTAGTCAGACGATATTAGTATCTATTAGCTCATCCTTTATCAGTTCGTGTAGTAAAATGAAAACCACGCCTAGATACCGTTTCCAAATATACTTTTAATTGGCACTAATAGTAACAATAGATTCTGAATATAAATTCATCTGCTTTTTTTTAAAAGAATAATATTCAATTTTCTAACAAGACAACTGTTTAGTGGCATAATGCGATATGTTGACGATAAACAGTTGGGAACAACAAGAACAAAATACTAATAAATTTGGGATGGAACATTCATTTGAAAAGCATAATATTTTGACTATTAAATACATTATTGACTAGGGCAAATATAATTCGACATAAGTTTATAACCTGCTGACTACTCGTGTTTTGAACAACTTAGAGTGAATTCAATCCAATAAATATTAGTTTCGTGATGTACTTTTTTATAGGGAGTTACTACATTGGTGTTAATTAATTAACAGAACCTATAATCTTAGTAATACGTTGATTGGGATTGATTGTTTTTCTGTTTAGTGGCTCTTTTTTTTTGTAAACTTAACATTGTACTAAGCTCTCCAGTAAAATAGCTTTCATTTTGACCAATCACTTTGTCTCAGGGCTTCCATATTATCTTATGTATATGTTCTAATTAAAATTTCATTTTGATTTGGTTTAAATAAATAAGTAATGGCATCCTTCGTCTGTTGTCAAACATTTACTGGTGGTGGTTAAAGGTAGAACGTATTGGATAACGTGTAAACGTAAATAAAGAAATAATGGCATCCTTCGTCTGTTGTCAAACATTTACTGGTGGTGGTTAAAGGTAGAACGTATTGGATAACGTGTAAACGTAAATAAAGAAGTAATGGCATCCTTCGTCTGTTGTCAAACATTTACTGGTAGTGGTTAAAAGTAGAACGTATTGGATAACGTGTAAACGTAATGATGAACGGAGGAGGTCCACTGCTGTCACACAGATGATAAATAAAATGTTAGTTTTCGCAGTAAAATAGGGCTAGCTTTTTCTTGTTAAGTTTCCGACTTGAATCCTTTTTCAATCTAGTATTGTAAGTACGCTGAAAGTTATTCCGTCACGTCGATAAGTCTGTATTTTAACATTGGATTTTGTCACGTAATATATAGGTGTTAAATATATAACACATTGGAAGATGGGAAAATTAAATATATAATACATTGGGAGATGGGAAAATTAAACATATAATACATTGGAAGGTGGGAAAATGAAACATATAATACATTGGAAGATGGGAAAATGAAACATATAATAAATTGGAAGATGGGAAAATTAAACATATAATACATTGGTACCTTCCAATGTATTATATGTTTAATTTTCCCATCTTCCAATTTATTATATGTTTCATTTTCCCATCTTCCAATGTATTATATGTTTCATTTTCCCACCTTGGGAAAATGAAACATATAATACATTGGAAGATGGGAAAATGAAACATAATAATACATTGGAAGGTGGGAAAATGAAACATATAATACATTGGAAGATGGGAAAATGAAACATATAATACATTGGAAGGTGGGAAAATGAAACATATAATACATTGGAAGATGGGAAAATGAAACATATAATACATTGGAAGGTGGGAAAATGAAACATATAATAC